GCAGGCGGAGCCAAAGACGGGTGTCTGTGGCTGGAACCAGGTGGATGCCTCAGTAACAGGAAAAGGCGAAGAAGTGTGATGTAAGAGCTGGTCGGCGAGGCAGGGATTAGGTTTGTGATAGGGGAGGGGGAGGGGTAGAGGGAGCGTGAACAAAATGAATATAAGAACTCTGGGCTCAGTGTGGGCTTGAAGCTTTTAACTCCTACCCGAGTGTTTTCTTCTTCAGGAAGCTCATGTTGGTACAAGATTTGAGATGCCAGGGTGAGTGGGTAGACTTAACAGGAGTAGAGAATGTCATAATGGGGATGCTTAGGCAATAAAGCCTTGGGTGCCTAATGGTGATTTCCCCAGGGCGGTTCACAAGGAAGGCTTCCTCTTAGGAGAGGAGGCAACTGGGAGGTCTAGTCGGCATTCACAGCAAAATGAAGCTGCTGCTGAACACATCCCAGAAAAGCAGGATTATACGTTAGGTGTTCCCTACATTCTGGGAGAGGAGTTTCTGCGGGGAAGATAGTAGACCTGGGCAAGACTAAAATAGGGAAATGAATAAATAAATACAAAAAGGCTCAAAACTTTGTAGATAGGTTATTTATGTGAGAGAATATATGGTTATTTTCTTAAGCTGCCCCTTGTTGCATCAAACTTCTAGCAGCACTCTAAAGAAAAGTCACCTGCATTACACAAAGAAGCTCCCTTGGCCGGCCGAGTAAATACTGAGCAGCCCTCAGAACTTCCGATTTTCATATGAATGTCCTCTCTCTCTTGCTGACTCGGTAGACGGCGAAAGTTATCACAGGGGAGACAGAGGAGTCTTTTTAGAAGACTTGCATTATCATAATGAGTGACTATGGTGGTTTCTGTACCAATCCTTCAAAATACTGCCTAAGTCAGCAAAGACGTTAAGCCGGGAGAAAGAAAGCCCCCGGGAAAAAAAATTCCAAAATTAGCCACTTTAGATTCATAAAGAAAGCTGTAGGTTTGGCTCATTGACTTTGCAGTAAATGTAGGGTGGTTGAAGCTTGTGTGGGGAAAGACACTCAGTACTTGACTTGGCAGGTATTGTGTGGCAGAGCCCTGGTCATGAGATTTTACGAGGGTTTGGAACACATGGTGAGACAAATGGGCTAGAGCCCAAGAGTTCTCGTGTTTGACTCGTGATAAATAGAAACTTGATTGAAGCCTCACGGTGTGTGTGTGCATGTCAGTTAACCTCAGCTGGGTTTAGGAAATGTACTAGAGTAGTTATCACGGGGGAAGGATGCCAACATGGAAGGAGAGCGCCCCGCAATTAGGAAGGCAAGAGCATCTCTGGTTGGTTGACTGGGGAGAGTGGGAGTAATTGCTTCTCATTGCCTTCCCATGAGTTTTATGAACCTGTTTGCAAAATACTTGGTTTCCTTGGACTCTTTGTTCTCCTCCATATCCATAACCCCTTGTGGACTCTCCAAGCTAGTTCTGTCTCTGCTCATTTGTGTTCTGAAGAGCTATGTAACCCACCTGTGTGACGGCCTCCTTAGGGACACCCTGGGATCATTACCAGCCTATCCTAAGCAATACTAATAATATTAATCACTTTATTGTCAGCTTTTATTTGATGGGGCAGGGGCAGGACACTGGCAGACTTCAAAGCTGCCTGTCTGCATTGACTTCCAGTAGTTTAGTGTGAGTGGTGAGATAGCCTTGACTACTTTTCTGTTTACTTATCTGTACCTTAACGATGTTAAGGTACATCGTTGATGAACTTTGTGAATGTGGCTTTGCTATCTCTTCCCCACTCATTAATTCAATAAATATTGTATGTCAGACCTCTCTCAGGTCTGGAGTACAGCAAACACAAACTGATGGAGCCTTTGTTCTAATGGACCTTACCTTCTGATGGGAGCCACACAATGCGCATGTGTAAGTGTATGCCCATTAATGTGTTCTATGAAGGACAGTGCAAGAGCAGAGGAAGAGGGAGGGATGCATTCTCGTGATCAGCGAAGACCTCTCTGTGGAGTCAGTAGCTAAGATCTACCTAAGAGTCAGGGGTCAAGAGGCAGAAAATGGGGACAATTCCTTCAGACAGAAGCCAGAGTCTGTCTGGTGGGCTTAAGGGGCATCAAGATGGTGTCACATGGAGCAAAGGAGCATGGGAGGACCTGAGGTCACAGATTGCACATGGAGCAAAGGAGCATGGAGGAGCTGAGGTCACAGATGGCACATGGAGCAAAAAAGCATGGGAGTAATTGAGGTCATAAACAGCACATGGAGCAAAGGAGCATGGGAGGAGCTGAGGTCATAAACGGCA